GATGGTACAGGAGTCACGTTCTAAAAAAAGTTATAAATTGTTAGGGTAAAGACATAATTTTTAATATATAAATCATTGAATAGGAGCACTATCTTGCTTCGTATATTTTAGGCAATCCCCATTTTAGTAAAAATAAATTATCCAAGCACAATAATTGCTTTTTTTCACGTTGTCCTTATTTTTTTATTATTAAATTTTTATCATTATTAAATTGTATTTAATTTTCACATTGTTTCCATAGTCCAGTGAAGTGTGTTTTGTTGGGGATTTCAAGCGATGGGTTTTGCCTTTCCTTACAAGAGTTGAGAAAAGAAAACCTGGTTCACAAACACGCTTGATTCATCAATACCTCACGGACATTGCCAAGGTATTTATACTGATTTACCTTCTTTATGTTACAAAGTCATTTCAATACAGGTTAGAACCAATTCACTTAAATTGATATGTGGTATAACACTTGTTATGTGTATCAAGTAGATGGAATGTGTATTGAATTGACTTATGATAGAGCTACTATGATTTATTGTGTTCACACACATTGTGTTCTTTACATTCTCTGTAATGTTGGGTTGTCCTCAAGGCAAAAGTTGACTATAAATTTATTAAGGCAAAAGTTGACTATAAATTTAGTAATTAAACCTAAAGTTAAATTACTTTTCATCAACAGTCGGATTTGACATATGTTTTGAAGATTTTTCAAAACTCAACTCCAGAGGTATGTGCCACTCTCTTCATTTTGTCCTAAAAATATGACAATTTTGTTGATGAAGTACGCCTGAATTTTAGACAGGCTGGGTTAAACTGCAGTTTGTGTGTTAAGTGTAACACCAAGGTCCTGTCTGAAAATAACAAATAAGGCGATTTTCAATTTTTTTATTTGATTTCTTTAGCTTAAAGAGCCAATAATTGCTGATATAGCACAACAAATGAGACTTGCGCTCGAATGCATCTATATTTGCAAAAGGTACTTGCTTCATTAATACATAGTTTGTTTAGATAATCAACTGGCCAGGTTATCATAATTACTTTACTTATTATTACTTTCACAGAGATGACCAGGTAGACATAGCATTCAGCATTTTAGAATGTCTTCCAGCACCTGATGAAGAGTAAGATTTTAATTTAGAATTTCTTTGTACGCAGGCATAATTACTAAAAATAAATGAATCCTCTGCGTTTACTAGTGATATTTTTAATACTGAGATTTCRGCCTAAGCGGCTATTATCAAGGTAGAGTATACATAAGATTTTAAACAACGCAAAAAACAGAAAGCGCGCGAGGAAACACAGCAATACAGCGCGAGCTAATTACAATAGATAAAATGTAAATAATACAATGTGATAGTACAATGTAGAAATAAAATGTAAATAATACAATATAATAATACAATGTAGAAATCTCTCATTCTACATTTTAGAAATCTCTAAAACAAATGTATCAATTTATTCTTTTTTTTACAGTGTGCTATCTGATCAAATCAGGGAGCTTAACAAACAAATTGACAAACTTGAAGTTCATTTATGGTAAGGACACCTATCACTGAGTGTCAGGCAGACGGACAGACATAACTCTATTGCTTGCTATTTTAGTGCATGTGAAATTCTTACCAAGCACAGCCTGTCCAAGCCTGTGTCATATATAGTGGATACAGAGGTAAGATTAGTCTAAAAATAGTCTTAATTATAAGACCTACAATCCCGGACAAAACTGTTGAGACATTTCTTGAAATAGATTGAATTTCGATGATCTATCGGCGCATTTCTGTAAAAATCTCCCCCTTTCCCCCTCAAATCAATGTTGAAGGGACTGAACATTCATGCACACCCTCCTAGCATCACGTCACACACACAACATTGAACTGTGGGGGGAGGGGAGGATCAGAAATAGTGACTTTTTAGAAAGATGAGAAATGGGAGTATTTCGGCGCGAAAAATGCCACTGTATCAACAGGTTTTGTCCGGGATTGTATGTACATCCATTTCCACTMCTCCTTCCTGCCATTCAAATTTTCCCTGTAGGGGGAGGGGTGGAAATGGATGTCCTTAGGGTACATGTTTATTACAATGTTGAATATATCATTAGGRGAATAAAGAAGAAGCAGAAGATCTCTTGAAAAAAATGACAACATTAACCGTGAATTGGTGAGAGGTTTATTTAATTCTAATCTATTGAAAATTTGTTCATCTCTTGTTTGACATCTCTTTATCTAACTGCAAATTTATCATTGAATGGCTTGCCCTCACCAAGCTTCTTTAATAATTTGTTCTTTTACTGCTCTATAACTCTACTTCTCCAATCCTCCCTTGTTAATGTTATTTGTCATAATTTCCTCATCATTAATCATGTTGTTCTTGTCAGCTCACCTCCAGCCAATGAAAAAAGGTGGAAAGAACTGCTAAAAGACATGATCACTCTTCAAGAACAAGTTTACAGCTGCATTGATATAAGTGCATGTTATGAGGTACTTGAATTTAGACTTCACAATAAGCACAAAGATTGAGATTGTCAAAACTTTCATTATTAAAATGGGATATTTCTTGAATACAGATCTACACAAAATCACTGTTACATTCTGGCATCAAGGATAATATCCTGTTTGCTGGTAAAATGTTGCATAAGACAAAGCAAGAAGAAAACCAGCCGCCATCWCATGATCARCTRTCAGGTCCTCGCATAAAGTACAGTACTAGTGTAGAGCTTRTGCTGGARGCTAGTAGAGAGTACTTTAATTCATCYAATGATTTGTCTGATTCTGCTATGGAATTAGCAAGGTAAATTTCATATTTATTCAGATCCATTTTGTTCATTTGTTTGTTTGTGCATCCATTTGTTCATCCATTCATTTGCTCATCATTTGTTCATCTGATTATTTGTTAATCATGTTTCTTTGTTTAT